ATTAAGCTCTGGAAGAATAGCGGCAGCATCTTGACAATGAACAAGCAAGCAAGAAGTGAGAAAAATATAGGTTAAACAATTTCTACTGCCACACAATACTCAACAAAATTGCAATGTCCTGTTTTCCTAATTTCATGCCCCATTTATCAGGGAAACCAGAGCATGTTCTATTGCTTCTATTAGGTTTTTAATATTTTCTCCTGGTGTAAAGCCATGATCATAATCTTCCAACGTCATAGGCTGGAAACATATTCGTATTACCACAGGGAACTGAGATAATAACTTGGCACAGCCATTAGTTAAGGCTGGCTGCAAAAATGACCGTTCGTTCCACAGGATATTTTCTTAGACCATCTGGACCAAAAAGAACCGGTTTGATGAATGTGTGTAAACAAAGGCAACAGAGAACTACAGCCTGTTTTCAAGCAGCAAAATAAAAATGTCGACCTAATACTAAGAGGAGTTTAACCGTTATCAAAGAATAACATATATTGTTTAGCTAGCATCTCTTCGTCTGAATGGTATTCTTCGGACTACTGACCGAGTTGTGACACCTCTGTAAATGTTTTACTGGAATTAATTTTACTCTGCTATCAAGCTCAGTTGCTTCAAACTTGAGCCAACTACAGTAATCGTGCACATTTGGACAATATCCGTGCCAAATCATTTCTCCAGAAGGCGTAGGTGAAAGGAACAGCCTCTGTCAAACTTAAAGTCACTTCCAGAAACGATAGATGTGACAGCCAAACAAGCTAGCGCTAGCTCCCTGTACATATCACTGTAGCGTTTACACTGGCTAATAAATTCAATTCATGAGTCCAACACGGGTAGTTTAAAGTTTCAAAACGACATTTACATTTTGATAAACAATTGCGTCTATTTTCTCCCCAACAGACGCCTCGAAAGTAACAAACGACATCAAGTACAAATTTGCTAACATTTAGACAAACCGAAGCTGATGGTATTTTTCTGGCTAACAACTCACTTTCCATGTAAACCTCCTCAACCAACATTTCCGTATGATCGTGGTTCATTGCAGATAAAAATAATAATAAGAAACCCACGCTTAGCCGTTAACGACACACAGCGGTCCTCCAGCAGAGTGAAGAAGCCCAGCCGCGAAGGAGTTCCTGCTTTCCGCTGCAGGAAGACGGATTAATCAAGTAGCATTTTGAGCTTAGCAGTTAGCACCGCTGAGCTGCTACAAAGGCTTCTGGGAAGAAATGAGCTGCGTCGCTGATTGACCAATAGCCTCAGCCGATTGCTGTGCTCGTCAGTCCTAATGTTGGAATTTATGATTTCAGAGTCTGCAGTACATTCAGAATAATCGAATGGAGTTATTTAAATTAATGTTTTACTGCATTGTAGGATCGACAGTCGAATATGCTCACAAGAAGCACAGTACAAATGTCAAATTACTTATTATTCTAGCTAATGGAAGAGGACCACCAAATAATAAATAAATAAATAAAAATAATAATAATCATCATAATACTAAAATCAGAATTTTGTAACATCTTCCTGTTATTAGTTAAGTTCTTTTTTCATTGAGTTTATTAGTTTAATTTTCTTGTTTAGTTAAAAAAAAGTGATTATTTGGGTTTACTTAAGGATTAAACTTTGAAAATATAACTTGTAACCTTTTGAGATCCACTTCAATATTTTTTTTATTAACACCCAAATTGCAGTTTGTAACTCCAGTATGAATAGCCACTGGTAGATGTTAAAGATATGCAGCAGAAAAATTTGTAACAGTGTACAAATATCAGCAAGTCGGTTCAAGTAGGTATACAGACTGTTTACAGCTTTGTTTGTCCTTTGCTAGATTAGTTGGCTAAAAGAGAAGATGACTCTTTTTCCATACACTAGCGCACCACTTAAACAACTAACCTACATTGTCTATGATAAAATATGCGGTGCTTGTTTTTGATGTAGTTGTGTTGAACCCTGGGTAATTAGTGGAACATAAAATAAACCAAATTATGTGTATATAAAATTATCATGCAAACATACTGTGACATAAAGATGACACTGAGAGCATTCTAATCAATCTGATATGAGATGACCTTAACTTCAATAATTAATCAGAAGATTGAATGGGAAACGAGAGCAAATTGTGGTGTCTTGGTTTTAGTCCAGTCACAAGGGACTGATTATTTTTAATATGATGTGCAAAAACATTCAAAGGGCGGTGATGAAGCTGTATCACAGTTTTATTATGTTTGGCCCCAGAAAACACACCAGTGATGACATCATAATCTCTTGCAAAACACTGTGGTGATAAGAAATGTTTACCCAGCTGCTTTAGATTAAGTTTAAAAAAGTTATAAAAATCATCTTCTTGAATCCCTGGTGGCGTCGCTAAGGAGCAGAGAGCTCCTGCAGATCTGCTATGTTCAACTTCTGACAGTTCAGCTGAGGAAACATCAACTGACTATCTCGGCTGCCCAGTTAACAAAGGTGCCACGGTAATGTTAGAATCTAAACAGGTGTAACTGAGCGTAACGCCTGCAGGGAACTACCTGGTCTCCAAGACAACAGAGGACAAACAAAATAGTGTCTGACTGAGGGGTACTGGGGGACTATGAGAAATACCAAACAGGACCCTTCCTGGTCGCCTTGCAAAGCTCAAACTACTAAATGCTATATAAAACACTATTATATCACCTAATAGTGCTATGAAGGTAAATAAAATCTGATTATATGTTTAATGCATTCTGTGATGCATTTATGTCCCTACAGGAGCAGAGAGACTATTATTTTTCAGCAATAACCACACTGTTATCCTGGGAAGCTTTTTTTTCCATCAAAGGGGTTAACATACAGTTACTGTCATGAGTGTGATAAATAAATTTTTGATGATGATGGCTTACAACTAATGAAAACCAAAGAATAGATTAGAACATAACATAAGACCCATAAAAAATGTTTTTCCAGAAATATCTATACAAAAGTATGTCCATATTATAAGTATATGCACTCAGTAGTTAGTAATTCCTTTGCATTAAGTTCTACATCAGTGTAGGGATCAGCCTGTTTAACTGCTGAATTTCTAAGAAAACCCAGGTTCCTGTAACAGAGGCCTTCAGGAACCTGGCCTAACCAGTATTGTTAGGTCTGTGTCTCTTATTTTCCTCTTGACAACACCCAACACGCAACAAAGCTGTAAGTATGGTAATTGTGGCATTATGGGCAGTTGCCAAGTCCTGCTGGATAACAAAATTAGCATCTCCATCGCTTGTCACCAAATCTGTCTATCCATCTGTGCATCTGTGCATATATATATAAAAAAAAAAAAAATTCCCTTCTCACCCACCGCGGGTGGTTCTTATCCTCTGAGCTCGGATAAGAACTCAGAGGCCTGGGAGCTTGAGGGTCCTGCAGTATCTTGGCTGTGCCAAGGACTGCACATTTCTGGACTGAGATGTCTGATGTTGTTCCTGGGATCTGTTGTAGCCACTGCTCCAGTTTGGGGGTTACTGCCCCGAGGGCCCCGATGACCACAGGTACCACTGTGGTCTTCACCTTCCAGGCCCTCTCCAGTTCTTCCCTGAGGCCCTGGTATTTCTCCAGTTTCTCGTGCTCCTTTTTCCTGATGTTGCAATCACTTGGTATTGCTACATCTACCACAACGGCTTTCCTCTGATGTTTATCCACTACGACAATGTCTGGTTGGTTCGCCATTACCATTTTGTCTGTCTGGATCTGGAAGTCCCACAGGATCTTAGCTCTGGCGTTCTCCACCACCTTTGGGGGTGTTTCCCACTTTGATCTCGGGGTTTCCAGTCCATATTCTGCACAGATGTTTCTGTACACTATGCCTGCCACTTGGTTATGTCGCTCCATGTACGCTTTCCCTGCCAGTATCTTGCACCCTGCTGTGATGTGCTGGACTGTCTCAGGGGCCTCCTTGCACAACCTACACCTTGGGTCTTGTCTGGTGTGGTAGAGCTGGGCCCCTATTGCTCTGGTGTATATATATATATATATATATATATATATATATATATATATATATATATATATAATGGGACATTATTTACCTTCTGGGCACCAAATAGATGAGCCAGAAGGTATATAAATCCCCAAGATCATCCCAAGTCACTTGTGATCCAACACAGTCAATAACATGGCTCTCTACATCATAACTGACTGAAAAAACTCAACACTGGATCAAGGATCTCACACTACAATGCCTCTTTGCTGTCCTCCAAGATCCTAAACCCTTGAGGTCCAAAATAAATGCAAAGTATCCTTTATCTGCAAAGCTGGGCATATCTGTGTGTCGTGACTCTTGAAGTACTGACTCCAAAAACAAGCCAGGTACAAAAATGCTTCAACCTTCAACTCATTTCAAGCCTGTGGTTTTCATGTTACTTGTGCAATTTCTTTCTGCTGCAGTTTTTCCTTCCAATCAACTTTCCAATTACACTTTGGGAACAGCCAGCTTTTCCAGCAATGGCCTACTGTGCCTTACCTTCCTTGTGAAGAGTGCCAATGTACTGTCTGCTGGACAACTGTCAAATCAGAAGTGTGTAATGAATCGATAAAATACATTAGTGTGTTTTTATTTTATTTTAATTTCCAAAACTGACAATTTATTTTATTCTAATTTGATAATTATATACTCTTCCCTTGTCACAATTAAATGCTTGTGTCTTGAGGAATAATATTTAATTGACAGGAGTGTTATTATAGTGTAAAGCATTTTACTAACCAAGGATTTGTTCGTTATGATACCTAAGATGCTAGAAATTGTACTTATACCTTGTATTGCAATATTGTTTCAATTAGGTTAAAACGCAAATGTGGCTTCATGTAGCTGCCTTTGTCTGCGTGCACTGAAGAGAACCACAAAGTTAACATAACCAAATAAAGTAGAGATGCAGACAGGAATGATTTGGCTGCCTTCTTCCTTTTATGGTAAAGCGGCGTCGGAAGGAGGGGCGTGGTTAGTGCGTAAACGTCACGAACGTGCTACGTACACCAGGAAGCACCGGGAGATATTAGGAGTTTTCACCGTGCGCGATAATATGAGTGATATTTGAATACAAATTCAACATATAAAGTCACATCGTGCTGTGTATAATCAATCAAAGATGAGTGAAAGTGAAAGGCTGAAGGTAAGGAAGCTGCAATGAGCCGTTCGGTTGATTTTTATTTCATTCAGCATATTTTGGAAAGCTTTCTGGGAGTCCGTTGCTCACCTTTGCTGTTGAATCCAGGACCCCGCAGCCCTGAAGGAGGAGGGGAACACCCTCTTCAAGGCGGGAGACATGCAGGGAGCTCTCTGCTGCTACACCGAGGCGCTGAAGCTGACTGACAGCCAGGCAGACAGCGCTTTATTATACCGCAACAGATCTGCCTGCTACCTTAAACTGGAGGAGTTCAGCAAAGCAGAGGCTGATGCCTCCAAAGGTTCGACTATTTCTGTTCTATTAGATCACACACTGCTTTAAAACACCAAAATGTCGCATTGGTAACTGTTGCAGACATTCTGTGTTTTCAGATTGTTTACAAAGCATTCATGCAGCCTGCTGAAACTCATTGGTGTCCAGTGTTGAAGATGGCCACAAGCCAGATTGCACTGTTCAGGACTTATTAAGAAAGTACTACATAGGAGAAACAATGGCATGTTTTCAATGTACAAAACAAATTGATAACTATGAAAGTGAATAAAAAGCAAGGAAAATACTAAAACTAAGCATATAAAGGTGTCCAAGAACATTGAATTGTGAAAGACTGTCCATTATTTCCTTAATTATCAATGCAATAGGTTAGTTAGGAGAGAGGTGGGGTAAATCTTTGACAGGTTGCAAGTATTTTACAGCACAACACATGGAGACCAAGTACACACTTGCACTCTTCACCAATTGACCTGACATGCATACTTTTGGACTGCTTGAGAAGACTAAAGTTCTGTGAAAGAAACTATACAGATGCGGAAAGGACAAAGAGACCTCAAGTCAGGATTTGAACATAGACCTTCTTGTTCTTGGTGTAAACAACTTATAACCTCCAATCAATATGAGAGCAGAACATAGAGGTTCTTGTCTAAAATGTGCAACTAAGTAAGTGTAGATTAGAACAAGTCAGAGTCGTTTAATACCTTAAGAACTTAAATGAAATATACATTTTCAAACCTGGAATATTTTTTTAGGTCCCCATTTAATGTTTTTTATTTGTTTTATTTTAACTTCACTTCACTAGAGCTGAATAAAAAATTTTGATCATCTCTGCGGGTTTAATTTAATAAAATTAAACCTCTAATTAGTCAAATACTACTATTCTTTTTAATATGAGTTTGTTTTGTTTTATTCTTTTTTTTTTTTTTGAGTGAAATTACTCAGGATTGTCCTGAACACACATTTTCCTCCTCAGAAGAATGTGTGGGATAGCTATGTTAAGTACACAAGCTGCCCGTCCCTATGCTTGACTTTGTCTTACTGTTTTCACTTTGCGTTCTTGTAGCAAAAAAGCCAACAGTGGCAATGATGCTCTCTTTGGAGGCATGAGGAAGTAAGATTTTCTTTCTCAAAACCTCCCTGTTAAACTTTTCAAACATAAAGTCCTCCCATAGAAACTGTATAGACAGTTTCCCAGAGAAACTGTCTATATTATTTATAGTTTTATTAATGTGGCACAATGCAATGCCTCTTGCAAAAACAATTCTAAAGGAATGATGCATATATTATGCTCATTATGATAGATGCTGGTTGTTATGTGAGTTTTGAAGGTGACTCTATGTTGAACCAATTATTTTAGATGTGGAAACTTGTTTCTACGTCCACATTATCTAGGCAACTGCCTGCTCTAATGAATTCAATCTGTATTCTAAGGCTCCACTGAATTCGGAAAGCAATCATATTTCAAGTGTTATGCTTTGCTCTTCCTGCTCTGCATGCCAATAATTTATTGGTATGGTTGAAGTGTTTCTCACTGCTGTTTGTAGCCGAACCTGTTTTAGAGCTCAGCAACTGAGATGTTCATGTAGATTAAAAAATATAGTGGGTAAGGGGGACAACAAAGTGAGTTAATTACTCTAGCAATTGACATCAACAATAATTTCTCGATTGTATGTTTTCTTAATATTATGCAGCCTTTAAAAACAAATGTATCAGTGAACCTAATTATTGCCAGACATAGAGATTACATTTATTATTTTCCCTAACTTATTAAAGCTCAGGTAAACTGTATATATGACTGCATGACTGCAGATATGTTTCAAAGTTGACAAGCTGCAATTATTTTATAAAATATTTGACTTACTATGGTCTCTTGTCTCAACAATGTGGGACATCTGGATAGAAGACAACAAAGCCCACTGGACAAGCTTTAGATATTATCTATATTATTTTCCTCACCCACTGCATCAAAGGGTTTGACTCTGTTCTTTGAATTCTTATTTTAGTTCAGAAAGTAGTAAAATTGTCAATTTTACCACTATCTTCCCTTTTCAGCTCTTGACACAGACCCCGGCGATGTGAAAGCCAGGTTTCGGCGAGCTCAGGCGTACCAGAAGCTCGGTCGGCTCGACCAAGCTTTCCTGGATACTCAGAGGTGTGCCCAGCTGGAGCCCAAAAACCGAGCTTTCCAGGATCTGCTCAGACAGCTGGGAGCACAGATCCAGCAGAAGGTGACGTGAGGCTGATTAAGTCTTAAATCTGGATCCTGGTGAAACTGAAGCTGATTCAAAATCTTCTCCCTTCAATCTTTAGTCAGCACAGCTAAACTCCACAGATGCTCGCGTGCAGCAGATGTTCTCCGTCCTCTTAGATTCCTCTGCTAAAGACTCCGATCGACAGAAGGTACACATGGCTCGTGTAGTCAGAGTAAACCTCTCCTTCTTACTTGTCAATCTATTCAAATTTTCATTATTTATCTTTAAAAATGTGATTCACCAAAAAGTTTTTTTGTTGTTGTTTTTTTCAGGCAGCTCAAAATTTAGTGGTATTGTCCCGAGATGAGGGAGGAGCCGAGCAGATCTTCCGCAATGATGGAGTGAAGCTGATCCAGAAACTTCTGTCATCAAAGCAGGAAGTTGTCGTCCTTTCTGGTCTCAGGACCTTAGTAGGATTGTGCACAGGACACCAATCAAGAGTAAGTATTGATTAGTATTGATTTGAACAAAATTGACTTTTGTTCAATTCAAAAGTCAAAAATGTTAACCCTTCCTGCTAATTCTTTCCATTCATTGATTGTATACCAAAAGATTAACTCCTCATTTGGCTGTTCGAATGTGTTCACTTTGATGGTAACTGAAAATAAAATCCATGTAAAGGTAAAATAGATCACACAACGGCCTGTCTCAATTTTTCTAAACAAAAATCTTGATGATTTCCCAAACTTTGGAAGAAAAAAATGTTTTACTTTACAGTGAAGTAAAATACTGATTGCCAGTTTATTTCAGTTGTTGGCAATAAAATTGTCACTACGATTTAATAGGTTTAGAGATTTTATTTATTTCCACAAAAATAAAATATCTGCATCAATCTTTAATAGTTGCTCATAGTCTAGCATTAATTTAATTTAGTATTTAATACTAGTATTGATTCTGAATTTAACATGAGTTAAAAGTTTTAAGAGAAACCTGAAAGTGGAACATTTAGTTAATTTCTAAAATTACAAACAAGCTTCTGCTATAGTTTCTCCATTGGACTAAGATGAAAGAAGACAATCTCTTGCATTTGTTCTTCAGATGATAAAATCCGTGGTAACACGCTGACATTTGCTGTTTTATTCTCAGACCATGGCTATCGTGAATGAGTTGGGAATGGAACAGCTGTGTGCAGTAATGGGGTCAGCAGCCTCCACTGTGTCTCTGGCTGCATGCCACCTGCTGCAGGTGATGTTTGAGGCCCTGACAGAGGGCATGAAAAGAGAGATTAGAGGCAAAGATGAAGCCATACTTCCTGGTGAGTATGTGGACTTGGCAACACTCCGTTAAGTTATATACCATTAGGATAATTTTCTTTATGAATTTGGCACAGAACCATCGAAGGAGCTGCGTTCGATGCTACGCCACCTTTTGGAAATGATTCCAGCTCAAAATGTGTCCGGGCCAGGCAGAGACAGCGCCATCAACCTCCTGGTCAAGCAAGTACCCCGCAAGTCACTGAAGAACCCTGACAACTCCCTCTCGTTATGGGTGATAGACCAAGGTAGGAAACACACCTGCATGTAAACAACCCGTATCAAACTTGTAGCCTACTTCATAATTTCAGACAGATTCTGTTTAGATGATTTCTTGTTTCTGTGGGTCTGGGAGTAATCATACCTGTGTATAGCCTGCTAAATTTAACTTTGCTTTCTGAAAAATGTGATCAATCCCAACTAATTTATGATTGTTCACATAGGACCAGGTTGCTTTATCACTTATAAATGAAACCATGATTGGAAAACTTTTTTTTTCAAGTCACTCAGTTTATCTTTCTCTAATAATATTTGTTTTGATCACAGACATAAAAGTGTGTAAAAAATTTAAAGGGGCCAAATATATTTAGAATATTTATCAGAAGTTTTGTCTGAGACAAAGAACTCTGTTCTTTTGTAGGGCTGAAGAAAATCCTGCAGGTGGCTGGGACTGTTGCTGAGCTGTCGGAGGGGCCGCCTCTTACAGAAAACACTCACATGAGCTGCTCTGTGTTGCTCAGCAAACTCTATGATGACCTCAAGAGCGACAAAGAGAGAGAAAACTTCAATAAACTTTGCGAAGAATACGTTCAGTAAGTCAAATCTCTCTAAAGCTTCTCCTGAAATTAATCATTAGATTCCCTAGAAAAAGAATTCACAGATTTTTTTTGCGTGATAGGGGACACTTCAGACGGTCTGGCCTCGAGGGCAAACTGCGTGCCATTCAGACAGTTTCTGTGCTCCTCCAAGGACCGAGTGATGTGGGCAACATCACTCTGGAAATGTCTGGAATGATGGACGCCGTTATCTCTCTCTGTGCTTCAGAAGATGTGACTCACCAACAGGTTGCCGTGGAGGCGCTCATCCATGCTGCAGGCAAGGCCAAGAGAGCCTCGTTCATCACCGCTAACGGCGTGGCGCTCTTGAAGGACCTCTACAAGAAAAGTGAGAATGACAGGATACGTGTGAGAGCTCTTGTGGTAAGTGTCACGAACTGATAGAGGGAAAAACATCCTCTAGTGAAAGGAAAACTTACTGTCTTGTGTGGGTTGTTATGCAGGGCTTGTGTAAGCTTGGATCAGCAGGAGGCACAGATTTCAGCATGAAGCAATTTGCAGAGGGATCCACGCTCAAGCTCGCCAAACAGTGCAGGAAGTTCGTGCTCCTGATTATGTTTTTCTCCTAGCAACATATAACAGTGGATTTTGGCTTGTCAAATTAAAGAGAAGTACCATCTCTGTTCCTCTTAGGTGGTTGTGTAATGAGTCTCTTCCCCCAACGTCTCGACGTTGGTCTGTGGAAGGTCTTGCCTACCTCACTTTTGACGCTGATGTAAAGGAAGACCTAGTAGAAGACAAAAATGCTCTCTTAGCCATGTTTGATCTGGCAAAGGTTGTACTGACCTTTCAGTTTTTTGTATACAAGTGAAACACAAACCTTTTTAGATATTTAAGGAGTCATGGAGGGATCTGCTTATACCACTAAATCACATTCTTGTTGTGTGATTCTTTTTGGTTTCATGCAGTCGGAAGATAAGACGGTACTCTTTGCTGTGGGCTCTACATTAGTAAATTGCACCAACAGCTATGATGTGGAGAAACCAGACCCTCAGCTGGTGGAGCTGGCCAAATATGCAAAGCAGCATGTGCCTGAGGAGCATCCCAAGGTGTGACACACTTCCTTCTTTTAAGGGTCTGATTAGTTGTAATGCCAAACTGCTTTATATTTTCTAATGTATCATCACAAAATGTGATCATTTTGAATGTGAATCTCTTTTGCTGTTAGGATGCATCATCTTTTGTGGAAAAAAGGCTAGGCAAACTTCTGGAAGCTGGTGTTGTGTCAGCATTGGTGTGTATGGTCAAACAGGAGAGTCCTGCCCTCACAGAAGCTTGCAGGGAATTTATTGCCAGGTATCGACAAAAGAAGCAAACATTTTTCTTTAGGCAGTTTTTCTGTAGGTTTCTTGACATCCTTTCTCCTTGCAGGGTTTTCCTGGCTTTAGTTGATCGACAGGAGGACAGAGGTACAGTGGTGGCACAGGGTGGAGGAAAGGTAAGACACAATAATACAATGTATAAATGTGTAAATTGTATCAACATAGCAATTTATAAGTGTCACACTTCATCACAGAAACATCAATGTGTTTTAATTGGAATTTAACATGAGAGATTCACACAAAGTAATGTTTAACTGTGAAAAATTATATATTTTCAAAATGTAAACAAAGAAAAATCTGAGGTTTTTCATGCATTTTATTTTCTTAATAATCTATAATTAAATGTACATAGACCACACTTTTCAATTGTCATTTCCTTCTGTTATGTCCTTGTGCTACTTTCAGTTGATCCTTTGCATACAATCCCATTGAAATACTTTTGCGAGCCAATGTATACCTGCTTTAACCTGCACTCTAATCCAGTCTCTGTGCTAGAAAGATTAATTATTGATCATCCTTTTCAAAAGGCTTTGATCCCCCTTGCAACTGACAACACAGATGTAGGAAAGGTCAAAGCTGCACAAGCCCTGGCAAAAATTGCCATCACATCTAACCCAGAGATTGCCTTTCCAGGAGAGCGGGTAAAAAAGAAATACAGAAGCAGATTTGTTTATAATAATGCAAACACTGACTGTGCCTCAAATTTTTCTCTTGCTTTGGCAGATCTATGAGGTGGTGCGACCGCTCGTGAATCTTTTACAGCTGGAGTGCACATTGCTGCAAAACTTTGAATCTCTGATGGCCCTCACCAACCTGGCCGGCATCAGCGAAAGACTCAGGTTGGCCACTAGGGGGAAGTGTTTCCCTAGAAATAAATATACAAAGGAAGTTGGAATTACTGAAATTAATATGAGTATGATTTAAGTTTAAATTTGTTTGGTCTTTTTTTTTTTAAAGTTAGAATCGCTTTATCTATTTCTATACTTAACTCCATTGTAGTCTATGTCCATTTTAAGTAGAAGTTATAATGCCCTTTTAAATAGCAAACTCCTGTGAAAAGTTGGATTATGAAAACCAGACACAATTGTTTATTGTTTTGATCATTAAGTGACAAGCTAATTCCTAAACTCTTTTGCTCCCCTTTAAGCTATCTTGAATGTTGCCATGCTTGCCTTGACAGATATTTTTTAGAATCTTCCATTTTTGTTTTCTTTCCACAGGCAAAAGATCATCAAGGAAAAAGCCTTGCCAAAGATTGAAGGCTACATGTTTGAAGAGAATGAGCTAGTCCGAGCTGCTGCCACTGAGTGCATGTGTAACTTAGTTTTGAGTACAGAGGTAACACATGTATCTATAACACCACCTTAAAAAGTATCCACCAAAAGTGTTCATGTCCCTTAAACTTTTTCACATGTTGTCACCTAACAACCACCAATGTCAATATATTTTACTGGGATATTTTATGAAGGGCAATCAAAAAGTAGTGCGTCATTGTGAGGTTTTGGCAATGTTTGGTTTTTTGGAGTGCTGGTTATTCACATTTTTCCCCCTGCATAGCTTTCCAAACTGCAAATAGAGAGTCTGGGGTACTGTTATAACCTAATCATGGCTTAAGCTTTTTTATAACTTTCTCCCTGACCTGTCTGCTGTGACCCTGGGTCTTCATGATGCTGTTTGTTCAATAGAATTCCTCAACAATCTACTGAAAACTTCATGAAACAGCAAGATTGATATTCATATTAAATTACTCCTTTTGTGGGATATAATTGCATTTGATTGCTCTGGGTGTTATTTAGGGCTCAAAGAAAAAATTCCACTAAACACAAAAATAAGCCACACTTTTCAGATTTGAAACGTGGGGTATTTTTCTTCCATTGCACAGCAATGCGCTTCTTTGTGTTAATGCATTTAAAATTACATACCAAGAAAACATATTTTAATTTTCCAGTTTATGTTCATATAGAAAAAAGTGAAATTGCATTTGGGGTATACTTTCACAAGTCACCGTCAAACTAAATCTTAAGAAAGGCTGAAAAATAAAATCATGCCGTTTTTTCCTCAGGTGCAGAAGCTCTTCTTAGCCACAGGGAACGATCGCCTGAAGCTTCTCGTGCTTTACTGCGGAGAAGAGGATGAAAGGCTCCGGAAAGCTGCTGCAGGCACTCTGGCCATGCTGACTGCCGAACAGCCAGAGCTCTGCCCTCGAATCCCTGGAACTGTAAGAAAACCTTTACTTACGTATTCCTAAATGCTGCACTTATTCTCTGCTTGACTCCTGTGCTCCATCTTTCCTAGACAACCCATTGGCTGGAGATTTTCCAGGCTCTGCTGCTCAGTGAAATATCTGACCTGCGTCACCGCGGCGTGGTCATAGTTCAGAATATCATGCAGGCTGAGAAAGGTCTGGCTGAGGCTCTTATGGAGAGTGAAGCTTTGGAGATACTCACTGTCCTTGCAAAGGGAGGAGAAGGCACAATAGATCCCGTTTCCAAGGTCGCTCAGAACTGTCTAAATAAAGCAGTGGAATATGGCATCATTCGGAGCAGAGAAGACAGGATAGAAGAGGAAAAAGGAACTGAGCCTTGAAAAAAACACTCTTACAGAGTGTGAATGTGCCTTTTGGAATTGAAAAGTGAAGAAATCTGAATTTTTGCCTGCAGTGAGTTATTAAAAGGACATCTCATCTGAGCAAAAAATGGTAAAAAGCAATAGGAGATTTATTCAAGAAGGTTCTACAATTTCAACATATAAACACATGTGGACACAGATATCCTTTAAGAGATGCTTTAATGCACTCAGAGTTTCTTGATCTTTTCATTTTCAGGATGTGCATTATACCGCAAATACGCAACCGTTGAGGACTCACTGTTTACAGACTAACACACAATAAAACTATTTTATTTTAGCTCATACTTCCTTTGCCTATACAGTTTGAGCATGGCTCACAGGTAATCCGTTTAAGCTAAATCCTGGCAGGTAATTATTGTGATCTGATTAAATACTGCACTGGCAATGCAGAGATGACTAATATAATAGCTAGCCAGCTGAAAAACACTCCATTCTCACGTAATTGTCCAAAGCATTTTGGTGTGACTGCAATCGTTTTCATTGACCTATATTTCTTTTAACAGGCTGATGCTGAAACACATAAAAAAGTTACTGTGGATACCGATGCTGGTTGTCAAAAGGGGTCTACAGTTCGTGACCTATGTGGTTGTTGGTTATTGATCTACTCTGTTTTATCAATAAAAATCATGCTTTGTTTTCCTAAATCCTGCATAGAAATGTACTATTTTTGCACCAGTTGAAATTGTCACTTTTGGTTTCAATGTTTGCCGAATCACTACATTCCTGGCGTGTTTTGCATTGTATCGTTTTTACGGGAGAAGTTGTAGATCATGACAATAAACTCTCTACATGTGGTTGATTACGACTGCAAACGAAAACACGGTTGTCATGTGGTCGGAAGAAGCGCATGCGCAGTTGTTCCAGTTGGTTCCTGCTCAGTTTTCAGAATCCGCGTTGCGTGGAGCTTCCGAAGGAAGTCAAAAGAGTAAAGCGAGCTAAATGCGCTGGTTTGGGTTTGGCTTCAATGCGTTTGCTCAAATATGCGTGCCGGAGAAAGAAGAAAGCAACAGCGCTGCGGGGCAAGAGAAAGTATGCGTTCCCGTGGAGCTGCTGAATCACATAGGTAGAAGTAAAATCAGAGCAAGTTGGAGTCGGAGAGCATCTTTGTTTTTAGGTGGTAGGTTTATTATTTAGAAAACGCCTCGTCTTTAATGCATGTTTTCACTGATGGATCAGAAAGCGACTGGCTGCGAACTTGCTGTGTTTTCTGATCCTCCAGAGGAAAGCTGTGTGCGCTTGGCTGGTTTCTGTGCGTCCATCTCCAACGAGTCCTTCAGTCCTGTTGCAGTGAACACCAGTGGCTGTCGAGATGCAGACATCAGTGAGACGCACCTTACCGTTGCTTTCCCAGACAGAATTGAATCCTGGGATCTGCAAAGCAAGGATAAAACTCCATCATGGAGCATGGAGATGACTCAGTCACAGAACTCTGGTATATTTCTTTTCGAGTTTGTACAACTGAGAAAGATTTGCATCAAATAGCTGCCCAGTAATTGTTTTGTTATTTTTGTTTTTGTCTTCTGATGTAGATGTGAATTTGCCACTGGTGCCTGGAGGATACATTTCCTCGAAACCCCCTGTTTTCCGCTCCTTGTCTTCTCACTTGAAAGCCAAAAGCCTGGCACTGGGTGGAGAACATGCCATCCTTCTGACTGCTGCTGGAGCTGTTTACACCTGGGGTCAGGGCAGGTAGAGCTCATACACCTCTGATCTAAACTCTCCTTTGCACGTTTTGGTTTGTCAGCAGACATGTTTCTTTTTAATAGCCACGGCCAGCTGGGGCACGGAGGACTCAACGCTGAGGAGGAGCCCAGGACAGTGGAGGCTCTGTGGGGGATGTCCATAAGATCTGTGGCTGCAGGAGGCTGGCACTCTGTCTGTGTGGGTGGTAAGTTTTAAATCACATTATTTCACAGACTCCCCAAGCGGAGAAAAAAAAAATAGATGTCTTTTATTTCAGATGGCGGTGACCTCTATGTGTGGGGCTGGAATGAAAGCGGTCAACTTGGACTTCCTTCACGTGCTTTGAGGAAAGCTTCACAACAGAAAAGTGACCACCAAGCAGGTTTGTCTGAATATTTTAGATCCAGCAGATTATCAACATTCGTCTTTCCTACTCAGTTCCAGTAAAAATTCAATTTTTCGTTTGTTGCTCAATTATTGAACAGGAGAACAATGTAGCAGTTTCAGCACATGTCCTGATGAAGAGCTAAATGAAGAAGTGTTCATTTCAATCCAGGCATTCCCAGCTCTGGTCGATGTCAGTCCGTCATGCGAGATCGGTACAGTTAGCTGTGGATCCCGGCACACAGCTGCAGTAACAAGTAAGGAATACCGTTGAAGATTAACTGTGCTACCTATTGTTGTTTTAGAACGAGCAGCTGATACTCATGCATATATTTCTCGTTCAGCAACAGGCTGTCTTTACACTTGGGGATGGGGTAAGTTTGACACAGACAGACATTTTTATACTAACCAGTTAATATTGAGCTTTCCTAACTCTCTTTTGTCGTATTTTCAGGAGAATACGGCCAGCTTGGACACCAAACGACTACCAGTTTGGACGAGCCTCAGTGTGTGGAGTTTTTCAGGAAAGAGAAGCTGCATGTTGTTGATGTGGTTTGTGGGTCATGGAACACTTTTACTGCTGCTATCAAGAAGGAAGTACTTGGATTGAAAAATGTCCCAGAATTATCCCCTGTGAGCACCGGCAGTGAACTTTGGACTACATGCTAGGAAACATCAACAAATACTTTAACATTTATGATTAAAATATGTTTTGTAATTTTTGTTCATATTCAAAGACACTTTGGCAAACAGATAGTTTGAAACTTTTTATTCAGGAAAAGCTATAAAAAAAAAGATAGAATTTTTTTCATTCATAAAACTGTGAAAGTGATTAAAAAAGTCAAAGGAAAATATAATTTAATGAAAGTGACCAAAATTGGTTTTGCTTAAAATGAAACAATGAAATGAAAACTAAAGACGGATACATTTCCACTGCATAGCAGTAAGTCTTCACAGCACAATCTTGAAAGAGCTGTGGGGAAATTAAATATTTGGAATGAATAATAATGAGTGAATAATGAACATTTGTGAGGCAAATGCAATAAGACAAACCTGACAAAGTCTGGAGATCTTGAAATGACATGCTGAAACTCAGATAAGTTCACCGTTCCATCCTTATCGATGTCAGACTCATCAAGGATCTAAATGAAAAGCAAATTAAATCCAATGATGCCTCAGTGTATCAACTTACAGAAACATGTTTTAGTCCCCCAGATTTCCTCCTCAGACCCTTGAAGAGAAGTGAACTTACGTTGTTTATGAGTTGTTTCATTTCTTCATCGTTCAGTCTTGTGTCCTCTGTCTCACCGGTCAGGCAGTTAACCAACTTCTCCAGATCACGTTCATCAAGAGTTCCGTCGTCATCAAAGTCTAAAAATATAAAATCATGTATATTATTTAACACTGCTGTCTGCCTACATATAGTTAACCAGCTCAATCTATTTTATTTACCAAATATACGGAAGGCATAGTGGGATTTGATTTCAAGAGTGGCAGAGTCGCTGAAGGCACTCAAAAGATCCAGGAAATCTTCGAACGTCAGGCTTCCATCTCTATCTTCAGATGTGGAGAATACTTGGCAGATTCTTGTCTTGAAAGGGTTGGACTGTTACAAGAGAAAGTTCAAAGGTCATTGCTTGTGCCTTCCAATATAATGCACATTTATTACACTATATAAAAGATCTAAACATTATACATGATAGTATATAATAATGATAGTCACCTTCAGCTCTGGTAGAGTATGGATGATTTCCATTGGTACCCTGGAGTTTAGATTTTTTCTTTCATCTCTCTCTAGCAGTTCTGTGAATCTCCTGTGCGCACTAATATATAAAAAAAACAACTTAATCATGTATCGGAAGCTCTCGTAGTTTTAAATTGCCAAAACTTGCATAAAAATCGCCACTTACAGGAGAATTTCCTGTTTTGTCAGAAAGGTCAGCTCCTAAAATTTGATCGAAAGATTAATAGTAATAAAAAAGCCAACGATTAAAGAAAACAACAACAACCCCTCCTCAAGTTTCTAAGTCCTTTATAGAGCCATGGTTACATTGCCACAGTAAGCTTACAACAGTTGGAGAAAATAAACGCCAGTTGAGGTTTTAAACAAAGAAACAACCACTCTAGCAATGCTAACTATTTTATCTGAGGTAGTTGCCCTTTTTTTCACGTTTTAAAACAGCTGGCCTAGCTGTTACGCTTCTCGCTTTTTCACGAGTGAAAAACAAACTTTTCTAGAAGTAACCATTTACCTGGTATTCTGAAAGCGAGTCCTTTGCCAGCTGACTTGCTGTTGTCCCCATTTCGAACTGACAGACCAATAATCCTGTTTTGTCAGAACCGTGATCTAAAACGAAGCTAAAATGTTTGTGATCTTTCGGCCAACTTCCGGGTTCTTGTAAGTGCCCTGTCCCCCCCGTGGCCCCGCCCCCGTTTGTCTATATATATATATATATATATATATATATATATATATATATATATATATATATATATATATATATATATATATATATATATATAATATATATATATATATATATTTTTTTTTAAATCGCAAGCACCGTCACCTCCCCTAATACCCTTTTTTGTGATAAAGCAAATAGTCAAAATCCAGACTTTTCTTTCTTGAATAAAATGATTCTATTTTGGTTTTATTTATTCAAACTATTTGAAGTACACTATACACTTTAAAAGATTTTTATACTTTTGTGATACAATATTTTGTGTTGCCATAGAAATTCTAAAGCAAAAGTGCCACTTCTTTCCTTTTCAATTAAACAAAATTCATTGCAATATTGTCTTATAGTCAATTTATTGTTTCTAAACATACATTTATTCTATACATACAATGAACAAAAATCTGTTAGTCAGAAAGTTCATTTGAGCAAGAACTCTAAATGTAAAAAAAAATTTTTGAAGGACAAAGTTTAATATGTAAATTATTGGCTATTCCAAATCAAAATTCCTAGCACAAGAAAGTTGATCTGGTCAGGTTGCAACACAGGCTTGAAAGGTTACGCTCCTTAGTTGGTCTCCCAATCTGTTGTCCCTGGAATAAAATCATAAATTATTTTAAATTATATAACAACATTTAAATTAGATTACCTTTATTGCACATAATCAGAAATTAATGCACAGATCATGATTAAAAGTTGCAGTTTTGTAGATGCAAGTGAAATATTACCTGTCATTTTTGTTCCTTCTTTCGTCTCAGCTGAAACTCCAATCCCATATTCATTTTCACCAGTGACTCTAAAGAAGTAGATTCCTCCTTCTTCCAGATCAGACACTTTATATGATAGTCTTCGGCATTTGTCCGTGAGTCTGGTCCAACCTTTCCTGCTAATGTCTCGGATGTCTACCAGGTAGCTCTTCACAGGCCCTCCTCCTTCATTCTCAGGGATGTCCCAGGTAACAGTGGCAGAGTTCTTAGTCACATCTTTGACTTTTATATTGATAGGAGGACCTGGTGAATCCAAAACCCTCACGTTCATGATTAAAGTAGCAGATCCAGCAGCATTTTGAAGCTTGACTTTGTATTTGCCAGAGTCATCACGTGTTGCCTGCTCTACTGTGATAGAGGTAATAAAGCCGCTGGTGTGGATAAGTCCCCTGACCCTTAGATCAACATCTGCTTTTTCCCATGACACACTAGGAACAGGTTTGCCTGTGAAAGGTACAGTCAAAGTAAAGCTACATCCATATTTAACAAGAAGAGTCTTTCTCATTTCA